TTCTGTCATATGTCCTAAGATTCATTTTACTACTAATAATAATAATAATTCTACTACTAGTAGTAATTATAATAATCATAATAGTAGTATTATTAGCAATAATAATCCATTAGTAAACATTGAGACGAAAAAAACCCCCCAAAGAAGTAACATCTGATAAGAGAATTTTACAACAACTGGTAGTATGTAAATAAGTAAATGAGTAAGTGAACACGGAAGTAGGTATGTATGTAACGTTTTCTTTTTAAAAGAAAATATAACAGGAGAATGATGTTTTTATTAAGTCTAATACTTTCAAACATTTTAAAACACTCCCATGAGCATAAATGTTTAAAATAATAATTGAAGGGAAATGATTATTATGATTATGATTATTTTGTTTCGAAACATATACGACTACTACTACTACTACTACTACAACCTTCTACCTAATTTATTTATTGAAAAGGAAAACTTTTCAATTTCCCTTCTCCCTCCCCCCAGTTTTTTTTTGTTGAAAAAAACGTATTTATTTTTGATTATACAATCTTACTTTGAAAACAAGAAAATTATCTCAAAAATTTTTTTTTAACCTTCTGTCATTGCCTCAAGGTGTACACAAGTTAACTGTTAGCTTATTCAATATGTTACGTAGTTTATTTAATTCGAACTGATGTATTATGAAAGGAGGGATTGTAGTGATCAGTAAAGATTTTATGAGTATGTGCGTTTATGTGTGTGCGTAGTGAATGGAGAGAGAGAGAGAGAGAGAGAGAGATAGGGAGAAGATTCTGAAATAGAAAGGGAGGAGATCATTATACTAGACTGTGATAAGATTTATGTAGATGTATGATTTTAAATCATCGAATTTTATAATGTCATCATTCTCCTTCTGTTTGTAGATTGTTTCATAAAGAAAAAATTAAATAAATAAGGCATATGTATTTTTAAGATTATTGTTACTGTCATTATTGTCAGCTATTTCCTTATTTTAGGTTGTATTTTAATAAAATAAACCGGTTCCGATATTCCGTTAAAAACAGTATCAATGTTCATGATACAATGTCCCCACTAAGTTCAAATTTAAAATAAATTTAGGCATAATATAGGAGTGAAGGAAAAGAATGTGACTTGTGGTAGTAGTAGTAGTAGTAGTTGTTGTTGTTGTTATTGTTGTTGTAGTAGTATCGATCAGTAATGGAGCTGATATTAAATATTATATATTTAGTTAGTTATTTTCATTAGAACTAATGAGATCAATTAATAACAATCTGATTAGAAATGATAACGGATGATAACATGCATATCCGAAAACTACCTAGTATGTTCATTCAAAAACGAATGCAAACCAGCCAATAATTCCATTGCTAAACATCCAATCAATTCTGGTAATCTACCTCATTGAAAATCTCTATACAAAAGTTATCCATAACACCAAATGTTCTAACTGCAAAGGAAACTGGGTTGGAAATTTATTCATAGCATAAGTTCTAACAATTAATTATTTCAAGCATAGTCTCTGTGTTCTTTATACTATTCTTACTTTTATTAGTTTCTAACCATTACGTAACTATTATTCTACACTTGAAATAGATTCGATCAAATGTTACTAGCTTTATTTAGTGATGTAAACAATTTTATGATGGACTGTTATGTGTACAGAATAACTGTAAATACTATTGTACAACTTTAGGAGATCAAGTCATTCAAAAGAATATTCTCCTCAATTGATTGTTTTTATTTTGCTGAATAACTCAATATATTTCTTTTATTGTTCCTAATACTCTATTATTATTATTATTATTATTATTATTATTATTATTATTATTATATCTAAGTTCAGCTGTGACAGATGTATTAATTTAACTGTCGATCAACTCCTCATATTTTTAATTAACTATTTCAATAAACTATATTAATATATATTTATATAATTACAAATTAACTGATCAAATTATGTTAGGACACTGAAAGTATTCGGTAAGCTGACTAGTAATAATTGCTGTTTAATCTATTTCTATCAGAATGAGATTTGTAGAAAGTGTAGTAATTTTTTCATAGTTGAATTCATGAAACGATGTAAGCTAGACAACCATAGGACACGTGGAGTCACTGAAGGGCCGTCTCGTCCAGTATGTGACTCGTCGACAGTGCTCATCTACGATCCCGCACGAGAGATTCAAACCTAGGGCCTTTGGCCTCGCACGTGAACACTTAACCTTCAGACCACTGAGGCAGCATCCAACGGTGTTAGTGTCTATGAATGACTGCGCAATCGTTCATCTATTTTAAAGAAAGCAAGAACGAAGATTGGTGCAGTATGATATGAATTCATTTTAGTTTGCTAGCTTCTCATCAGCTGCTTACAAGCTATAATTTTTTAAAGTCAACGTTATTACAGATGTTGACACACTTATATATACGAGGGTGATTAAAGATGAATATGTGTATCATGATGTAGCTAAGATTCCGATAGAGTTAATAAAGTCATAAAAAATTTGTTTTCGATAAATAAGGTTTAGGAGGGAAAGTTCCAGAACATTGAAATAATTATTAGAACTCATGGACTTAACAAACATTAGATGATTATGTAATGAAGCAACTGAAAATAGATTAGTGGTAATAAAGAAATTGCAATATAACCACTGATCGAATTGTATGCACTATGTCAAGATGTAGAGTGGTGGTTGGAGGTAGTTGAAAGAGAATATTGGTGTGCCTATAATCTCAAGGAAACTGGCACATTCTATCTCGCGTCATCCAGCTTCACGGTCAGTAACGTTACCTGTCAACTACCTACAACCATCAATTTACACAATATTTAACATATCTTGATTATAAACTCTTTATAAAGCATTTGAGTAAGTTATGTTGTAAGTATATAGAATTAGTTAATTAAAACCATTTCCAAATAATAATTTCATACAACATTTGTACAGTAAAATACTGGAATCATTCAAAAATCTAAAAAAGTATCTTTTGGAAATAATGATTATCCAGAAAATTGAATTATTCTGATACATTGTACAACAACAGTTTGATATTGAATACATCACTAATATGATGGTCACTGAAATAGCCTTTATGAAAATATTTAAAATTGCAACGATAGGAACCAATTACTGTTGACTAGATTTAAAGAATTAAATTTCATGATGGAATCTTGAAGAATCGAATCTTAATAGTAAATTTTAAAATTATGAATATTCATTCTATGATGGTAAAAACATGAATCGATTATTATTATTTACATCGAATTCACCGAAAGTTACTAACAAATTATCATAGTTACAAAAAGCCTTTTTTTCTGGAGTGAAAATAAGGATAGTATCGAACAATACGGACTAGACGTTTTGTCGACATTCAGTCATCAGAGCTAATTTTTTTTTACTGGATAATCAATCCATCTAGATGTTAAACGTCAATACTAATGTAATCGATCCCAGTATGTGGTAAACACAATTTTCCCATTCAGTAATTTTCATGATTGTTTTCTTTTCTCACTATGATTGTTAGACTGACAACACTCTCAAACTAACTTTATAATTGATCATCGGGTTTTTTTTCAGCCCAAAGTATTACAGATTAAGTAACTGACCTAGTCAAGATTAAACCACTGATCACTAAAATTTTATTTCATAATCAGATAATCTGTCTATTATCATTCTTTTCATTATTTTCATACATATACAATATAACATGTAATACCCTGTATATACGAATTATTTCCATTAGACCAGCCCATCCATTCATTCACTACATAGCCCATTCATTCCACTTATGATTTCTTCTATTCAGTTAACCTTGTTAACTCCTCCCTTTTTTATTATTTCTCTTTTTTTTTAATGATGTGAAAATATGATTGTAATCTTTAATTTTCCGGATACTTTACCAGATGGTATTCTGATTTCTTCCCTTCATTCAATCATTTTCCCCCTCTTTTATAAAATTGATTGAAATAGATCTACAATCCTATATTGAAACAGATACATTTGATTAACGAGTAATAATCATAATCATATGAAAGGGTAACACTAAAAAGAAAAGAAAAAAAAGAAAAAAAAACTGAAATTATCAATTTTAACTAATAAACCCATAAATTCGATTTTTTTAAAAAAACGACTTTTTTTCTTCACGTTCTATACATAGAACAAACAAAACCTATATGTATAGTTGTTATTGTCATGGCTGTTTCTACCGACATCGGAACAAAAAGAAAAATAATGATAATAATAATAATAATCATTGAGAAGAGAATTCGATAAGACTTCATTTATATTCAATAAAAGTAAACTATAGTAGACAGTTGATTAGATTGTTAATCATTGATAAGTCAATTGAAATAGAGATGAGAAGAAAAACTCTAGAAGAACGAAAAAAGAAACAAGGGCGAGAGAGAGAGTGAGAGCGAGAGAAAGAGAAAGAAAGAAAGAAAGAAGGAGAGGGAGGTAGGGAGAGAGAGAGAGGGGGGAAATACACAATGACATTCATAATATTTGTATAAAACAAAATGAATTCTAGTTTATTACTATCATGAATAATTATAATGTTCTACATTCTTTATACTTTATTATCCTTAATATTGTTATTATGAACATAGAATGTCATTAAGAAAGAAAAAAATTTATTTCTTTTTAAAATGAAAGACAAAAAAACCGCTTTATACACAATCACTTAATTGAATTTTTAAAAAAAAAACTGAATGTCCTTGAAAAAAAGTTTCCTATTTTCTCTTTCAGGAAAAGAAAAGTTCATCTAGTAAACACACAAAGACACTGTGTGTGTGTGTGTACGTGATCGTGTTTTGTTTTAGTTATATATATATATATGCATAATGATTCGTTAAGAATGTCAAGTATAAATAACCAATCTAATAATTATCTTAACATTTATCTATTATGATAACAGAACAGGAAAAAAATGTTTTAAAACTAATTATTTTATTTTCTAATAATGATCAGTCAGTCAATTATTATCAATGTAAGACTTAATGTAAATGTTGATTGAAGAAATTCTCTACTTTATATTCGGGTAGTGGTATAATGAATAACGACTGAATTAGTAGTAGTAGTAGTAGTAGTAGTAGTAGTAGTAGTAGTAGTAGTAGTAGTAGTAGTAGTAGTAGTAGTAGTAGTAGTAATAGTAGTAGTAGTAGTAGTAGTAGTAGTAGTAGTAGTAATAATAATAATAATAGTAGTAGTAGTAGTAGTAGTAGTAGTAGTAGTGGTAGTAATCATAATCTAGAGAAGGAATAAAATAAGGGAATAAATGAGATGGAATAACAATTAAACTTAATTTTCTTTTATTCCATTTGTTGATATATAGTATTTTATTCTAGTTAGTAACAATTGATTGGTCACTGGGTGTTGATTAATGTCATGTATTTCAAATGCTTCTTAGTGCAGATTGGATCTTATCGACCAAGTTGCAATATGGCCACCAGTCTAGATAACTCGACATTGCGTGCACCATATTGATATAAGATGATGATTGGTCGATAGGATATTGATCACCACTCGGTGACCAATCAACTGTAAATACATCTCAGTCCTATAGGAGGTCAGTTGCGGCGGATAGCTCAATGGTAACATCTCTGACTGTAAGGCTGGGTGACATGGGATTGAGTCCGTCAGGGAGTATCACTTCCCTCGGGATTAAAGGTACACCTTATTGACGAGTGCCAATTAGCACGAGACCTAGGTCCAGGGTTTCCTGTTGAATATCTCCAACCACCATCTTATTCTGGCTAGTCTTTGGTGGCGTGCTTTTCGAATAACATTTTTGCCATAAGTTTTTAGCAAATTTAGATATTGGCTAGCAGTGCAGTCCATGATACACGATTTGTTCTGCGTGAAACTCATCAGTCTAAAGTATCTTTATCCTGTTGTTTACACTGAGACTAGAACCCACTAACTATCGGTCCAAATGACGAAGTGTTATCCGCTTACCTATTTAGTCCGTTCGTGACTAATAAGACAATTGATATAACCTACAAGAAAAAGACTATATCAAGACAATGAACTCAAGATGTGTAAATGACCAAATCCCTCTTTTATAAAATGTATCAACAACGGAGTAATACAAACTTTTACGAATCAGCATCGTATCATTTGGACCGGTAATTAGTTATCAGTCACTTGATGGATAACGTGTTGGTGTTTTGAGTCTTTAGTTAACGGACTTGAGCTTCAATAAAAAATCCATACGCATTTAGCTGATGGATCTCAATTATCTTCTGATGCTACTCACAATTAGTATTTAAAAAAAGCGAAGCCATTTATTATAACGGTACAATAATAATGATAATAACCAATACAAAGATTAGCTAATAATGCAACTTAATATGGATATTCACATCATTTATAATTTTAAATGAATAAATTTATGTATGATTCAGATTAGAAGTATTTTTTTCAATGTTTAATTTATTTAAAATATTCAAATAAAAATTCGGTCTTCATTTTGAAGCATATTGAATCTTTATGTTCAAGGTGTGGTCAGAAATAAATCGATTAGTGTACATTTGGAAGTGATCACTCTGAAGAAGAAGAAGAAGAAGAAGAAGAAGAGAAAGGAGACGAAGCGATAACCGTTTAGTTCCACTATGTTGAGTGAAACACAGTTATCACCATTATTATTGAATGGTACTACATGATGCAACAAGTTGGGGGATAATATTGTCTACATCCATAATTGAAGGTCCTGTGCTTAGTCTAATGCTGGAAATAGTTTTACGTGTGTATTATTGACAATCCCCTAAATTCTCTGATTTTCGATTCAGTTTTGTAATCTGTAACGACAAGCTGTTTGTTTGCCTCAAGTATAGATCTTTTGATTATGTAAGCACTTATTCACATTTTCTTATCGTGTCCATTTTCTAGACGGAAAGTTTATTTACCCACAAAAAGTGGTTATTATCTTCACTTCGATATTCCAAACGGATTTCCACATAATTTTTTGATCTAATTCGCATTTGATCATAGTGTGGTGGACTCAACTTAAAAGGTTGGCTGTAAGTAATATGTAGTGAAACGTGGCGTTGAATCTGTATCAGTTGTCAAATGGAGAGAAGTGTTTCAAAACATTAAAAGCACGGTGTAGACAGAACACTTGTAGACCAGAAGAGAAGACAGAACACACTTCAAGATATAAATGAATGATTTAAAGCTACGTGTTATATAAACGTTTAATAATTTCTCTTTGTAGACATTCTTACTGCATTTCATTGTTCTACAATAAAACAACAAATCAACTCAGTTAAACAGTTTGTTACATATGGAGTACTTTTGAATAATACGTTGAGATTGATAAAGTGTCAAATAAGCATGGTAGTACCTCCTCAATAACTTCAAGGGAACATTGTGTAATATTTGTTCAATCAAATTTCAAGATCCAATCGTCTTTCTATCTTATAGTTTCATCTTCTAATATAGAAATTACTAAATTTAATAGAAGCAGTATTAACGTCGAAAATCTGACCATAACATTGGTTAGTTGATGGAAATTTAATTTATTTCTTTTTAAATCTACGGTCTTTAAATACCATTTCAAATGGTATCAATAAACAAAGCATGGCAACGAAGTTTCGAAAATAAAATCACTCCATTTTATCTTGGCAGAATTTACTGGAAATGTGTTGTATTTAAAATGATTATGTGAAACAGATATGCTGTAATGTCATTAGTATATCACATTATCAACTTATAGTCTCTCTTATTTGATTGTTTTAGTCTTGTTTCCTTATTACTATTATCAATTGTTGATGATTGCTTTCATTATTAACTGTAAGTGTATCATCTTATCTGCTTATTAGACCGTTGACTCCCTTTTGCTCTTGTTCTTTTAAAATATATACTGTTCCTTATAATTGCCAACACCTAAAGTACTTTAAACTAGAGTCAAATCTTTCGAAAGCTGAACGTTACATTGTCAATCATTACAAGCCACTTTGTTATACACTGTAGCTTAATTTCCGTTTATATGAGTTTATTCATAGAAAAAGTTCACATGTAATGAGATGAACTTGAAAACAACGGTCTGGTATTCATTTTGATGATTTCTTTCATTGTTAAGAAGATAAACAGATTTCTATGTTTTCATTTAATTACTTTTGAGAATTTTTACACATGTCCTGGATTCTACTGCTAGCCACCAATCATCCAAGCTTGTAATATTTGTGACTAAGGGCAATATCGAGGCAATCCGTACAAGATGCACATATGCCAATAAAAGACTGATTAGTTTCGGACTTAAACATTGATGGAAAGATTCAACAATACAAAATGAATTTATTTATCAGATAGTTTATTTCACAGATTGAAATCATGAGTCAATTGAAGCTAGATCACCATGGAAAACCTGGAAGCACTGGACGGCCGTTTCGTCCTAGTACGGGACTCCTCAGCAGTGCGCATCCACGATCCCGCACCCAGCGAGATTCTAACCCAGGACCTAACGGTCTCGCGCCAAGCGTTTAATCTCCACAAACCCCCTCTGAAGATAGTTAATTATTTAGAAAATAGACTAAATTGAAAAAAAATCATTCAGTCAATTAGTCTGTGTCAATCATAAGCAACGTAGAAATTAGAATATATATGTAATAGCTAAAGCTATTACATCATATTATCGCAGACAGATCATTTTCAAACTGAAGATCTGAGAAGAGATAAAGAACAAATAAATATTTACTATAAGGACCGATTCTTAAGCATATCACCTGTCATTCTTTGGCAAATAGGGGGAACCTATAATCATACTGTCTCTTTTTATACATTCTTTTCCAATGTTATTTATGTATTCTTTTTTATACGTTTATATTCAAACTTTCACAAAGAAAGGTATACCGGATGATATGTATTACAAAGTAGAGACAATTACGGAAAAGAAATGAACAATAATATTCACGTATTTAATACTCAGTAAATTTTCTAGTCCATGCCCTAGATGTATTATTTTATGTAAAAGTATGAATTTACTAGTCTGGTTAATTTATCATTTTGTAAAATTGTAGGATAGGAATAAGTAAATGAATATAGAAGAGATGAAACATTACAATCGGATTTCTATCCCTTTAATCTAATACGGATTGGTTAATATATTGGATAGATGAAGGAGAAAAAAAACACTAGAAATAGGGAAAAAAAGAGATTTAAAGAGGAAACATTTTATAAGAAGAGAAGTTTTGAATGTCGACTTATGGGGTATAACTAAAGTAGTCTAAAATTAACACATTAGTTCCAAGATTAGACTTCAATTCCACTCTGGGTTGTAAATATATATTATCAATTTAGAACGAAATAACTGTTTAGGTCTTAGTAATTTTCCAACTGAAGTCTTAATGGTGTAGAAGGTATGAGTGAAAATGAAAAACAGAAGCAAATGATTGAAATGAATTGTCTTTACATTAAGGATTTTGTTTATTAATTGTAAAGGTATAATAATTATAACTAATAACGAATATTCTACTTCATATAACTTGATAAATTTCATATCTGATTACTATTATTCAGAAAATACACAATTATTGGATAACCCCTAAATGCCCTGGCACCGCTGAGGGTGGGGAGAGTCAGCTCTCCATCTCAAAATGCTCTCATGTGACTACGTGCATACAACTACTGCTAGGGTAGTCCTACTCACTGCCTTCTCGCGGCATTACTGTCGTCTACGAAATTGAGAGGACGAAAAGTGAATGTCCGATTCATTAACCATGTTGGTAGATATGGAGGGTCCACTTAGGGGAGTTGGAAAATCCTGATTCCAAACCAATCGAGCACATGAGCCAATTGTTGGTCACTAGTTACCATGGGACTGTATCTCCTAACGTTACTCCACTGCCTTGTGAATTAGACCTATGGGTCAAAGGCTAAATACGATTGCTAACTGCTTTCTAATTAGACTTCTAGGGTTAATTTGTAATTGATTGAATGTTTAATGATGTAATAAGTTAATGTTTAAAGTATTTAACTTTCAATTTGTCTCATAAATGATTTGAAATTCATTTAATTAATTTTAGTCTCAATAACTGAATAGCATCATTAGCATTTACACAAGATGTATGACTCGAAACTAAGCGTGTGAACTTACATTGATAAGTTATTTAGGTAATAACTGTGATATTATAAAACTGAGTCAATGACACTATTCAACGACTGAGAAACAAACCATGTTAAACATCTTATAAACAAGAGTGTGGATAGATTACCTTATATTTTAACAATCAATGCTAAACAATGCA